TTTAATACCCTGACAAATGCAAGGGTTTCAGAATACGAAGTGGAACAAGAAGGCCTCAAATACAGGGCAGGATGAAGGGAAAGCAACTTCCAACTTCAAAAAAGAGAAAGAATTAAGATTAGACATAACTCGAAATCTAACAACAGAGGATCATCAGCAAAATAATGAGGGGCAGCATATGCCATACTGGCAAACGTCCGGTTGTACCACAGGAACTTGGATAATAATGACTTAATTCTCAGCTCTGCTGAATACATCCGTTGTGAGACCTCGTTGAGTACGCTGACCCTGCATGTAAATGACTATTTTTTATTTTTATTTGTAAAACAAATTAAATACAGCTTAAAAGACACCGAAGCACCAAAAACCAAGCATAATCGCAACACCTCACATCGACATATACCATAATACAAAAAAGCAACACAGAACATACACAGTAACATCCTACAGTGAAGCATATAATAACAAGGAACACAGAATAACAATAACACAGATGACAAGGTGCACAAAGCAATATAACATAAAAGTGAAAACAAAAAACAATACAAATACATAGAAACATACAAAAACACAAAAGCTACACTACTCAAACGAGCGCGCCAAAGGTGTCAGTAACGACAAAAGCCTACAAAAACACACAATGAAACCAAAGGTAAAAACAAAACAAATATTATATATATATATATATATATATATATATATATATATATATATATATATATATATATATAGGTGTCCTGTTGGTAGTGTCATTTTCTGCCCGTAGATAGCACCAGCACTTACGAATTTACTAACATACGTAACCTCTCAGCACTTACTAACATACGTAACCACTCTGCTTATCCTCTCAGAGTTCTCGCCCTAAACTTGCATATACAATTCTTATATATATATATATATATATGTCGTACCTAATAGCCAGAACGCACTTCTCAGCCTACTATTCAAGGCCCGATTTGCCTAATAAGCCCAGTTTTAATGAATTAATGTTTTTTCGTCTACCTAACCTACCTAACCTAACCTATCCTAGCTTTTTTTGGCTACCTAACCTAACCTTACCTATAAATATAGGTTAGGTTAGGTTAGGTAGGGTTGGTTAGGTTCGGTCATATATCTACGTTAATTTTAACTCCAATAAAAAAAATTGACCTCATACATAGAGAAAAGTTTTGCTTTATCATTTCATAAGAAAAAAATTATAGTAAATATATTAATTCAGGAAAACTTGGCTTATTAGGCAAATCGGGCCTTGAATAGTAGGCTGAGAAGTGAGTTCTGGCTACTAGGTACGACATATATATATATATATATAAGTGAGAAAGGCTGCATGAACGCGTAAGCCATAGATCCCTAAGAACTCTATATGACCCGACCAGGATTCGAACCCATGACGTCCAGGATCCCCCTCAAACATACAAGGTAACGTGACCACCGCACCATTGGTCGTCTTATTAGAATTATTTATTATAACAACCCTAGTACATCTTCCCTCATTATGAGAAATAACATTTCGGCGTCCACTGACAAACAGAGGTGTACTAATGTAGTGTAATCATACAAATGAAGCTCTATAGACTGAGTGCTCCAAAATATGTTCTAAATTGGACATCCGACAAATACACTGAGAAGACGTCTAACACTTTATTTGCAAGACGGAAGTATTAAGCAACATCATTCTCAACACCACAGCATCATCCTGAATCGCCAAGACTTAGTGAAAGATACGACAGTAATTACACGCACCGACGACCGTAGGAAGCTTCATAAGCTTGAGGCTGTGTTCATTCCGGAGCTGACACCTGTAGTCAAGATCCAGATGAATTCGACTTCGAGTATACAACTGTTCGGTGGTCCTCCATTCATCTAGAAGGAAGATGGAAGACCTGGTGGACAGCTAGAAGCCAGAGTCAGGTAACAATCGCCTCACCCTATCCTTCGGCGCTCCCTACGGTTATGGGGTTTAGGTGAATCGTAGAATTCAATTAAATTTCTTTCTTTATTATGCACCCCATACCTATCCCGTGGGCGGCGGTGGAAAGGGTTCCAGAGGCACATAATGGGTTCAGGAACTGAACCCCATAGTTTGTTTAGCTAAACAAGTGACAATATTTTGAAGCTAGTTACACAATTGTTAATGTTATATATACATGTACATATATATATATATATATATATATATATATATATATATATATATATATATATATATATATATATATATATATATATATATATATATATATATATATATATATATATACAATCATTTGCACAAGAACATATACACATCGATAATCTTCTGAATCACAATTAATTCATCAAGAGGCTCACAACAGTCACTATACAAGGCACTCTACATCTATGGTGAGTCATACAGTAACTAGTCTTGCTCCACACCCACTCAACTGGGCGGCAGCGTTACAGTCATGTGCATGCATTACCTAGATTAAGCACATTTTGGATATTTCGCTAAGATTCATGGCAGTATATCATCATGAACGAAGTACTTACACGTTTCTTGGACTCCATTGATGGTGTTATCTCTGAATTCTGCGATTTTTTTACATTCCATCATATAATGAGAAAAGTATGTGAATAGTTCTGCTGACAGAGTTTACATTTAGTCAAATCTACATCAGCAGATGTAACAAACTCCCAGAGGTACTTGTAGCAGAGCCTAAGCCTAGCAGTGGTAACATCTAGAAATCTGCTAACCTTAAAGGATGATCCATAGACGTGCAGTTCTTGCTGCATAATAGAATGATAATGAACGGAGCAACTGGTGTGAATTTCAGTTTGCCTCAAGTCTACGAGACTTTGTTGATGTTCCCGGAATATTACTGCCCGCAGACTGCTCAAAGGCAGTCCAAGATGGTAATTAATTCCCACTTTATGAGCAAAAATCTTGGCTAACTCATCAGTTCTATCGTAGAGTGAGGTGTACCCACACTTATAAAAAATTAGATTTCTCCTTGAAAGCCACAGAAGTTACAGCCCCGTTCCTGTGCCATTTAAGTCCACTTCGGGCTCGCCATAGCCCGTGCAACGTGGAAGTTTTTGCTGCTAGTAGCGAATCTTAAACAACAACAACAACAACCTTGAAAGCCAGTTACAGCCCGGCTCCTGTGCCAGGTAAGTCCACTACGTGCTCACCATAGCCCGTTCTATTTGGACCGTTTTGTTCTGAGTAGATAAATCTAAAACAATAACAACAATCTTCCCTTCAACAACAATCAAGAACTCGACCACCCTCTTGGAATAGTGCAATTATAGATCCCATTCCAACGACCTAGGAAATCCAAGTCCCATCTCATTAACAAGCTGCCTAGCTAAAACTGCAGAAATAATGGCTCTTAATCGAATTGAATGGAAAGCCAATCCACTGCACCAAAAGCTTTACGATAACAAGGTTATCGCGAATAACCGAACTCAACTACGAGCTCATTATAGCCCGTGGTACATGGACTTTTCATTCTGAGTAGCTAGATCTAAAACAAACTTGAAAGCTCAGTATACCTGTATCAGTTCAACAGAGTGTATTTCTGAAGATGTCACATTGCAGACTAAACGTCGGACAATATAAATAGAAAGATTAAGTGATTAAGTGTTTCTTCACCCTCCAGGTGGTAAAAGATATTTGCGGAGAATGGAATATATATATATATATATATATATATATATATATATATATATATATATATATATATATATATATATATATATATATATATATATATATATATATATGCGAACAAGCCTGAATGGTCCCCAGGACAATATGCAACTGAAAACTCACACCCCAGAAGTGACTCGAACCCATACTCCCAGATGCCACGCAACTGGTATGTACAAGACGCCTTAATCCACTTGACCATCACGACCGGACATAATGAGGTGATAGCCGAGGCTATTTGAACCACCCCACCGCCGGCACTCGGATAGTAATCTTGGGCATAGCATTTTACCAAATCACCTCATTCTTTGGGGTGCCCCAAAGTGGTGTATTTACTATCCGAGTGCCGGCGGTGGGGTGGTTCAAATAGCCTCGGCTATCACCTCATTATGTCCGGTCGTGATGGTCAAGTGGATTAAGGCGTCTTGTACATACCAGTTGCGTGGCATCTGGGAGTATGGGTTCGAGTCACTTCTGGGGTGTGAGTTTTCAGTTATATATATATATATATATATATATATATATATATGTCGTACCTAGTAGCCAGAACTCACTTCTCAGCCTACTATTCAAGGCCCGATTTGCCTAATAAGCCAAGTTTTCCAGAATTAATATATTTACTATAATTTTTTTCTTATGAAATGATAAAGCTACCCTTTTCACTATGTATGAGGTCAATTTTTTGTTATTGGAGTTAAAATTAACGTAGATATATGACCGAACCTAACCAACCCTACCTAACCTAACCTAACCTATATTTATAGGTAAGGTTAGGTTAGGTAGCCAAAAAAAGCTAGGTTAGGTTAGGTTAGGTAGGTTAGGTAGACGAAAAAAACATTAATTCATGAAAACTTGGCTTATTAGGCAAATCGGGCCTTGCATAGTAGGCTGAGAAGTGAGTTCTGGCTACTAGGTACGACATATATATATATATATATATATATATATATATATATATATATATATATATATATATATATATATATATATATATATATATATATATATATATAATGTTATTTTCTTGCCCAATAATTTGTAATAGCAGTAATTAGATAAATATGTATACCTGATAATATTTAGAACACAAGCACTACTATGCATAGCTACCATTGATAATCTACATACAAAATAATGCATATATATGTATGTATGCAACTCTCCTCTGCTGCAGAGGCGACATATTGCCTCTCAGGTACACCAGCTTGCATAACTACTACAGAGCACTGTCGTAAATTCTTGTAGGGTCCTCGCTCCTTTCCAATGAATTATTTCTCCTTCCGCTGAACAAGGTTATCAAGTGGGTGAAGGGGATGTCTGGGGAGGTGGACTAGTTGCGTTCCCAGCCGGCGGTCAGAGCCGGGAAGGCGGGCCAGGCAGGTGACCAGCACTATATAAGCTCCAGGATCCTACTCCAGACCACCAGTTGTTGGCTACCAGCACCGTCATGAAGTTCGTAAGTACCCTTTCGCTTTGTGGGTCGTGGGCATCTCTCATTAACAACTTGGTGTTATATCACGGTTATTATGATTATCATGCTACTAGTGGTGCAGATAAATTTGTATATCTTCTATGGGTTAATTTTAAATATTTATACATTATTATATTTGTTCATTTTCCTTGATTGAATTACTTCTGCAGACGATCCTTGCTGTTGTAGTGGCCGCTGCCGTCGCCGCCCCACAGGGTGGCTATCAGCTCCAGCCTACCTATAGCGCCCCCACTCTCAGAGCTCAGGCTCCTGCCACCTTTGAAATAGTGCCCATCCTGAGGGACGACCGTGTCCAGGACGATAACGGAAAATACAATTTTGAAGTGGAAGCTGGCAACAGCATCGTATTTTCCGAGAGTGGCTCTCCCGATGGGCCAGAGGGTGCAGTGGTTTCGTCTGGACAATACTCGTGAGTATTATGACTCGGGATTAATTTTAACTGACCAGTGTAATTTTTCGCATATTTTCTGTTATACTAAATAATATCCAATTGATCATTCTTCATATGAGACAGATAATCAAGGTCAGTGAATATTAACGACAACTTTAATTGTGTTTTTATTGTGACGGTGTTTTCGTCTCCAACAGTTACACTGCTCCTGACGGCACTCCCGTCCTTGTGAAGTACGTCGCCGACGAGAACGGCTTCCAGCCTGAGTCTGACCTGCTGCCAGTGGCTCCTGAGTTCCCCCACCCAATCCCCCAGTTCGTGCTGGACCAGATCGCCAAGGCTGCTGAGGAAGACGCTGCCGCTGCCAGAGCGCAGACCCCTGAATTAAGGGCTGCCGCATCCTATCAGGCTCCTTCCCTCACCTACGGCCAGCCTCAGTAAATGTTTCTCGTCCAAGATGCCTCAACTATCTAAATCATTGTTCAGATTCATGTATTTATTACGTCTGTACTTTATGTTCATGTATTCCATTTTTCTTCACGAATTACATTGAACTGGCATTGACTTTTTATATTTTTGTCCTGTATGTTATTTATTATTTGGCTGACGTCTTGGGATCACCTGATTAATATTACACAACACGATATATCGGAGAAAATTTTAATTTAGCAACATGGAAAAAAGTGACCAACATAATTGAGTCAGCAATGGTGTACAGGCTTCGTTTGTGTCAAAAATTTGTCCAGATGTTTCTCCAAAGTCAGCCTTAAAAGACCTTATGCCTCGCCTCTACCAGACGGATTTCCGGCTGTCTAAATAATAATACTAATAATAATATTTTATTGATGCAAGAGAATATTTATATATATATATATATATATATATATATATATATATATATATATATATATATATATATATATATATATATATATATATATATATATATATATATATATATATATGTTGTACCTAGTAGCCAGAACGTCGTACTCGGCCTACTATGCAAAGCCCTGATATGCCTAATAAGCCAAGTTTTCCTGAATGTATATATTTTTCAAATTTTTTTCTTATGAAATGATAAATCTGTCCATTTCATTATGTATAAGTTAATTTCTTTTTAAATTTGAGTTAAAACTAACATAGATATATGACGGAACCTAACCAACCCTACCTAACCTACCTAACCTAACCTATCTTAACCTAACCTAAACTAACACAACTAAGTTAATAAATTATGTTCCTAATATAATATAATAATAATAATTCCAATGAACTAATTGGAAACAATTTATTGAAAATAAAGAAAGTTATTCTGCCTATTAGGCAAATCGGGCCTTGCATAGTAGGCCGAGAAGTGCGTTCTGGCTACTAGGTACGACACATATCGACTACCTAACCTACCTAACCTAACCTAACCTAATTTTTTCGGCTACCTAACCAAACCTAACCTATAAAGATAGGTTAGGTTAGGTTAGGTAGGGTTGGTTAGGTTCGGTCATATATCTACGTTAATTTTAACTCCAATAAAAAAAAATTGACCTCATACATAATGAAATGGGTTGCTTTATCATTTCATAAGAAAAAAATTAGAAAAAATATATTAATTCAGGAAAACTTGGCATATTAGGCAAATCGGGCCTTGAATAGTAGGCTGAAAAGTGAGTTCTGGCTACTAGGTACGACATATATATATATATATATATATATATATATATATATATATATATATATATATATATATATATATATATATATATATATATATATATATGTCGTACCTAGTAGCCAGAACGCACTTCTCAGCCTACTATGCAAGGCCTGATTTGCCTAATAAGCCAAGTTTTCATGAATTATTTGTTTTTCGACTACCTAACCTACCTAACCTAACCTAACCTAACTTTTTCGGCTACCTAACCTAACCTAACCAATAAAGATAGGTTAGGTTAGGTTAGGTAGGGTTGGTTAGGTTCGGTCGTATATCTACGTTAATTTTAACTCCAATAAAAAAAATTTACCTCATACATAATGAAATGGGTAGCTTTATACTTTCTTAAGAAAAAAATTAGAGAAAATATATTATGTTCTGGCTACCTAGTAGCCAGAACGTCTGATTTAAGGATAGAAGCCCTAAATCAGAAGATAGTGTATTTACTATCTTCTGATTTAGGGCTTCTATCCCTCTAACTATTTTTCTAGGCTCAGGGCTTAGCTGAAAGAGGAGTTCTCCAAAACTCATTTTCGTTATTTTAAGGTGAAGAAAAAGTTAATTACTTTAGAATGTATTACACTTACTTATACATTTTTCTCAACTTTTCGAACCTCTATGGTTCATTCTCAAGCGAAAAAAATTACAGAACTCTTTAATTTATATCAGTACGGGGAGCCGGTCGGCCGAGCGGACAGCACGCTGGGCTTGTGATCCTGTGGTCCTGGGTTCGATCCCAGGCGCCGGCGAGAAACAATGGGCAGAGTTTCTTTCACCCTATGCCCCTGTTACCTAGCAGTAAAATAGGTACCTGGGTGTTAGTCAGCTGTCACGGGCTGCTTCCTGGGGGTGGAGGCCTGGTCGAGAACCGGGCCGCGGGGACACTAAAAGCCCCGAAATCATCTCAAGATAACGGGGTCAGGTGATTAAACAAGTACAATAAAGGAAAAGGCAAAGGGATAAATAGGGGACAAATGGGGGACGAAGCACATACAAAGATTAATCAGGTGTAATAGGCCTGTTATGTTGAGTAGTGTCTTCTGTGTTGGCATCGTTGTATTCCGGTTTTGTTCTTACTCTCATGGTGGGTAGAGTAAATAGTTCCGTGATTTGGGTGTTCATGGTAGGTTGTTCTATTCTTATGTGAATTGCTTCAAGAATTTGTAATCTTCTTACATCTTGGGTTTTGTCTATTATACAGGTAATTTTGTTCAACATTTCTCTTGTTAGGGTGATGTCATGGGCTTGTCTCATGTGACTCCTGGGGGCACCGGATTGAAGATGACAGGTCAAACGCCTCGTCAGCTTGGTCGACGTCATACCTATGTACTTAGATTGAAGGTTACATTCTTCGCGGGGGCAAGTGTACATGTATACAACGCTTGACTGCTGTAGACGGTTCTCCGTCAGCTTCTGGTTGTTTTTAATAAGGAGGTCGGGAGTCTTCTTTGTTTTATAGAACATGATCAGGTCCATGTTTTGGTCAGGAATTCTGGACGACATCCATAAGCTAGAAGACAAAAAAAAAGTCATCACCACTGACACACTTCAGGCTGAACTAATAATAGAAGCCGGGAAAAAACGTTCGGTTCGGTCATATATCTAATTTAGTTTCAATTAAATTTAGTTTAAAATTTTAGTTTTAACTAAAATTTAAGAGAAAATAGCTCATATATAATGAAATGAATAGCTTTATCATTTTATAAGAAAAATATTGAAATTCAGGCAAACTTGGCTTATTACGCAAATCGGGCCTTGCATAGTAGGCCAAGAACTGCGTTTGTGCTTGCAGGGGTTGAGCTTTGGCTCTTTGGTTCCGCCTCTCAACTGTCAATCAACTGATGTAAAGATTTCTGAGCCTACTGGGCTCTATCATATCTACAATTGAAACTGTATGGAGTCAGCCTCCACCACATCACTGCCTAATGCATTCCATCCGTTAACTAATCTGACACTGAAAAAGTTCCTTCTAACGTCCCTGTGGCTCATGTGGGTACTCAGTTTCCACCTGTGTCCCTCTGTTCGCGTACCACCAGTGTTGAATAGTTTATCCTTGTTTACCCGGTCGATTCCCCTGAGGATTTTGTAGGTTATCATCATGTCTCCTCTTACTCTTCTGTCTTCCAGTGTCGTAAGGCGCATTTCCCGCAGCCTTTCCTCGTAACTCATGCCTCTTAGTTCTGGCATGATGTGTGTGTGTGTGTGTGTGTGTGTGTGTGTGTGTGTGTGTGTGTGTGTGTGTGTGTGTGTGTGTGTGTGTGTGTGTGTGTGTGTGTGTCTGTGTGTGTGTCTGTGTGTGTGTCTGTGTGTGTGTGTGTCTGTGTGTGCGTGTGTGTGTGTCTGTGAGTGTGTCTGTGTGTCTGTGAGTGTGTCAGTGTGTGTGTCTGTGAGTGTGTCTGTGAGTGTGTCTGTGAGTGTGTGTGTGTGTGTGTGTGTGTGTGTGTGTGTGTGTGTGTGTGTGTGTGTGTGTGTGTGTGTGTGTGTGTGTGTGTGTGTGAGAAAGGCTGCATGAACGCGTAAGCCATAGATCCCTAAAAACTCCATATGACCCGACCCGGATTCGAACCCATGACGTCCAGGATCCCCCCCCCCCCCAAACGGGGGGGACCATGACCACCGCACCATTGGTCGTCTTATTATAATTATTTATTATAACAACCCTCTTATATCTTCCCTCATTATGAGAAATAACATTTCGGCGTCCACTGACAAGCATAGGTGTACTAATGTAGTGTATTAATACAAATGAAGCTCTATAGACTGAGTGCTCCAAAATATGTTCTACATTGGACATCCGACAAATATACTGAGAAGACGTCTAACACTTTATTTGCAAGACGGAAGTATTAAGCAACATCATTCTCAACACCACAGCATCATCCTGAATCGCCAAGACTTAGTGAAAGATACGACAGTAATTACACCAACCCGTCCTCGACTCAAGTCCATTACATCCAGCGGTCGACCCCACAGACGCATTCATAAATTTTAACATGCTGTTCATTCAAAATGGGAATTTTCTCAAGTATAAATTAATATTATAATATATTGGCATATTGTGTATATATGGACATAGGTTAGGTTAGGTTAAGTGTTTAGGTTCTGTTTGCGATTATTTGTATTTGTAGTACGTGGGTGAAGCATTTACAGCGTTGTGATTCGAACAAAATTCGTCAGTGAAGCACTTGTTCCGGAAATGTTCGAACGTTAGCAGTTGTGAGTCGTGTGTAAACCGCTTTTCATTCATAAACAGGGGGTTTGGCGGGTGCATGGAATCACTTTTGGATCTTTGTTTGGAGGACGGGCTGATTACACGCACTGACGACCATAGGAAGCTTCATAAGCTTGAGGCTGTGTTCATTCCGGAGATGACACCTGTAATCAAGATCCAGATGACTTCGACTTCGAGTATCAGCCCGTCCTCCAAACAAAGATCCAAAAGTGATTCCATGCACCCGCCAAACCGCCTGTTTATGAATGAAAAACGGTTTACACACGACTCACAACTGCTGACGTTCGAACATTTCCGGAACAAGTGCTTCACTGACGAATTTTGTTCGAATCACAACGCTGTAAATGCTTCACCCACGTACTACAAATACAAATAATCGCCAACAGAACCTAAACACCTAACCTAACCTATGCCTATATATGCACAATATGTTAATATATCAAAATATTAATTTATATTTGAGAAAATTCCTGTTTTGAATGAACAGCATGTTAAAATTTATGAATGCGTCTGTGAGGTCGACCGCTGGTTGTAATGGACTTGAGTCGAGGACGGGTTGTTGGGTATACAACTGTTCGATGGTCCTCCATTGGTCCAGAAGGAAGATGGAAGACCTGGTGGACA